CCCGGGGCCCATACGCCCCTCACATGGGTCTATTCTGTCCCCCCCGTACTGACCCCCCCCTCCCCCCCCCCCCCTAGCCAATCACAGCCAGTCTGGAGCCTCACCTCCAAAAGCACACTGTGAAAACAAAAAAATTGTGAAACACCACAGCAATGACAAGATTCGGCCCATCAACAATAACGTCAATCATTAAATCGAGCAGAAGGGGGCGCATCCATGAAGGAGGGTGCGACTGGCGTTCCAACCTTCTTTCCATCTCCTTTAACTGCCTCCTCCATCTCTGTTTGTTCAGATCGAGTGATTTATGAAAGGTCAAATGCAGGGATTGTTGGAATAGAGCAATACTGTATGCTGAGTGCATCTGACGTCCTTGTACCTTCCCTCTATTTATACTCATACTGTGAGGTGGCAGCAGTCACATGGTAGCAAGACATGCTGGAATGAGTTAGGCAACTTTCTAGACACCCAAAACACACAAACCAACACACAAAGACTACAGTTAAATGTTGTTCTGGAAAAAAAACACCCTTAACCCTATGCACCTTGAGAAACCATCAGTATGCTTCTCCAAGTATTCGCTGTATTCAACTTGTCCTGTCTGGCTTTGGCATCTTTGCAAGAGGAAATCGCCTCAATCTCCATTGCTGTTCCACCACGTCAAGACTCAGAGCAGGGGATCGTGGAGAAGGTCTAAGGATGCCCGACACTTTCCGAATGCTGGCTCGAATTGAGAAGCTTAGACGGCGGCTGCGAAAAGCCCGACTTCATACAATCAAATTTCTCTAGGGAAACGGAGGGATTCAGAAGAGATACTCAAGATTTCTTTTGTGTCACTTTTACATCCGTTAGCGCTAGGAGCGGTTGACTGAAAAACCCCAGACCCCTGTCTTAGATCTTAGAAAATCAGTAGACGTCTATTTATTCTATTGTGTAGCGTAGTTTAGTTCAGATCATCCAAGCTGGTTGACTTTAGAAAATATTCAGAAGTGAAATATGTACGTAGAGGATTATGTAACTGCTGATAGATCCTGAAATGACATGGACAGGTACTTTGATTCTCAGAGAAAGGCAACAAACCTAAGCACACTCTTGGACTTACAGTACATACAGGCTCCTCTGTTCATTCTGTCTCTGTATGTTCGGTGGACATTATGCAACCCCAAGCAATACGGCCCCCCTTCTGTCCGACTTCCGCGTTCAGTCTCACGAGACAGCCTGCATCAAGCAAGGACAGACACCACAGGTCAGCCACTCCAGAGGACGCCCAAGAGTCTACAAAAATGAACAGAGAGAAGATGCAGAGGAGGTCACAGAGGACACGACTGTGCAATCTCCCCTTTTTTTGGTATGAATTTGCTGTCTTGAATATAAAGCCATGCAATGCATAGAATTTTTGTTCTTTTATTATGATCAATGAATTGTTTTGATGTTGTTGGTTTAAAAATGTTTTTGGTTCGTTTTCATAGCACACTGTTACATTGAACAAATATTGTGGAAATTCTGACAAAAAAAAAACATTGAACAAAAGAAAAAAATTGAATATTTTTCTATGGAAGACTGAAAACCTGCACTCGGGTGGGATCTATGTGTTGTAGAAATCATATCTGGAGGATGTAAAGTACACATAATCATAAACATCAAACTAGGGCCTGTCGTGTTTATGGAGATACGTGACGGTCCACTGATAAGCAAAGTGCGACATTGTCTTACCATTGTTTGGATATTGCAATGCAATAAGCAATTGTCATTTGTTGTAAAAGAGAATTTATAAATGGATCTGTACGGCTGCTAATAGGCCTCCATGTTCTTCCACAGAGATTAATTAGCCTTTTCAGGACAAAAGCTAGGCGTTTTAAGCTAGAAAGGGGCACCCACGAGGACGGGCCCTTCATATTAAAGGGTCTTTTCTCATCTCTGAGTGGGGGACAGGGCATATCTGAACGCAAACAATGTGTAGTCAGCCATAGCGTATGTAGCTTAGTTCACTTTTTTGTTTGTTCGTGGCATTGTTTGCATTGTGTGGAAAATGTCATGATAATGCCATTACTTTGAGCTAACTGTGGTTATCCACCATTGTGCTTTGATGGAACTTTACCTCTGTTTCTCATTAGTTACCGAGGCACTAGTATGGGTGCTGTAGTTTCATGTTGGTGTGTATTGTCGTGTGTGTACGGATAGATTCCGGTTCTGGGAAACTTGCGATAGACAGAATCTGGCTTAAATGATAGTTCACCAAAAAAATGAAATTTCTGTTGTCATTTACTCACCCTCATGTCATTTCAAACCTTTTTCAACAGGACAAAGAAAGAGAGATTTATGAAAAATCACAGTTTCTAGTGACTAGGGAACAAAACAATATATGAAATGACAATATATGGGTTTGTAACTACACAAGGGTGAGTATAAAATGAACAAGTTTTTATTTTTGGGGTGACCCATTCCTTTAAACTGCACATTTGCAATCAGCTGTTTCTATCCCAAACTTAATTATTAAAACAATCAGTGGACAGTGTTCTCAGCTGATTTCAGATGAGCATTTTGGGGTAACACTATGCGCACTGACACATGCTATAGTTTGAAACTAGGTGTCCAGTGCCCTATTGAAACCTTATGAGGTGATAAAGCCATCACAGCTAACACACTCCATAGGCTTGAGACAGAATCGCTTAGTCCCATCCGTCAACACTGTAAAGACCACATTCATCCTGTAGTCAGAATAATGTCATCACTGTACAGAATTGTCTTTGGTAGTTTTATTCAACCTTTCAGGGCAGGTGTAATGTTAGCTGGTGAAGTCTATTATAGCCTTAGCCTTATTCCACCCCAGGCCTCTCCAGGAGCGGATGCAGACGGAGAAGCTTCGGTCAAACCTCGTCTTGCCAATAAATTTATTTTTGAATTAATTGATGGGAAAACAGTATGTGTGATGGAACATAGCAATATTCAACTCATACTGGCTACTCTTGTTTATTGCAATAAGGAAATCAACCAATAGATGCATATGTGAGTAAAATATTATAGATGTAATTTAAATCAAACACAGAAAATTATGGAAATACTTGGTATCAGAGAAACTTGGAGTTACCACAGGGAGGGGGGGGAAGAAAAATATCAATGTCTATAAATCAATAAAGAATATTAAAACTCATGTCTCATGCTTATTTTTTCATAGCTATATTTTATGAAATGTTCTAATTAGTTTAAAAAGGTGTCCCATTAAAATTATTTAAAACATAAACTAAAATAATAATAATAAAAAAACTCGTTTTTTTTTTTTTTTTACAGAAACTGCCAGCTGTGGTTGCCAGAATAAATATGTAAAAATACAGTAAAAATTTTAACATATTTACAGAATGACCTGTAATTTTTTAAGCTAAAAAAACCCAACATCATTTAAAACGTAACACGTAAATCCAACAGCGCTTTTCTGCTTCATTCAGTTTTGTATCCTTTAACCAACATAACACAGGTGGTAAAAAGAAATACAAAACACCATCATGGTAAAACACATGACAAAAATAATGCACTAAACATTAATTAAACAATAATTTTTCATTTTTTTATGTTTCTGTAATGGTTAATCCACACCAGTTTGTGTAAGCTCTTTAGTCACAGTAGTGTTTCTAATGCTAAAGTATAACTCGGATTTAATTGATTCAAAGATATATTGCACAAAAGTATAATCAAAAGCGAGTCATTGGGAACAACTAGAAATTATCTGGAAGTCAATAACAACAGAGACTGTGGAAAAGTACCTAAAAACAATGCAAGCTGTTATCAAGGCCAAAGGAGGCCATACAAAATAAAAATAAAATAAGTTTTATGGTTATTGTGTGTGTGTGTGTGTGTGTGTGTGTGTGTGTGTGTGTGTGTGTGTGAAAAAACTATTAAGAAACAATTATTTAAACAACATCAATTGTGAAGTGTCACACAGGGAATTCTGGGAATGTAAGTTTATTATAATTTGATGTTTTCCCTGTATATAGTAAGGAAACGTACCGTTTTTACCACAGGATTTTAAAAGTAAATCTCGTTTCTGTTCGTTGTTTCAACCGTACATTACACAGAAAGTGAAGAATAGTTCAAGCAGCTTTACATCCCAGCTCACAAATGTGGAAAATCAATTTCGGTCACTAGACGGCGCTGTAGGACTGATATGCTCCCAGTGCATCAGGTGCACTCAAGCAGGCGAACCAGTCCGCTGTGGATTTTATACACTGTCTGCTGCAAAATATTCAAACAATTATTGAGTTAATAGCTAATAAACAGGCTGAACTAACACCTTCTGTGATGTATTCATGTTTTAGTTGTAAACTTAGTGCATTTTTAAAATTGTTGATCTCTTTAATATGCCTATCTCCATCATATCACACAAAATATGGGGACATTATGTGTCTGTCTGAACTTATGTTTACCAGTCCTCATCTGTTGCTTTGTGAACACATTTCAGTCCATAGTCTGTCGATATTGCCTGTCAGCACATTACCACTTTGATCTCTGACCTTGTGGAATAATGTTTTTATTAGACACATCATTCAAAATTATTCAAATCAAGTAGTTCACACACAGCTTTGTCGAATTTCCCGATCCATATTACATTTGTATTTTCAAGGAAGCAC